ATTGAAAGTAGGGGCGAAGCTTTCTGGCTGCTTCTACTACGGCGAGAGCCATCTTCTCGAGAGCTGGGTACCGAGTTTCCGGACCGGTCATGCGCCTGCTTGTGTAGAAGATTGGCTTCTGTTCGCCTCTGTCCTCCTTGACGAGGACGCTACTAACTGCTGCACTAGAGACGGCGATGTACAGTGAGAGGACATCTCCTTCGTCTGGCTTTGCGAGGACTGGAGGGGTGGTGAGGTACTTCTTGAGCTGAGAGAAGGCTTCCTCGCACTTATCGTCCCAAACGAATTTCTTGTTTCCACGGAGAAGGTCATAGAAAGGGAGACATTTATCGGTTGATCTAGAGATGAAACGGTTAAGAGCGGCGATGCGACCAGTTAGCCGCTGGACTTCGCGGCTGTTCTTAGGACTCGGGAGATCGAGCACAGCTGATATTTGCTTCGGGTTGGCTTCAATCCCTCGTTGGGTAACGATGTAGCCTAGAAACTNTTCTTGTTTCCACGGAGAAGGTCATAGAAAGGGAGACATTTATCGGTTGATCTAGAGATGAAACGGTTAAGAGCGGCGATGCGACCAGTTAGCCGCTGGACTTCGCGGCTGTTCTTAGGACTCGGGAGATCGAGCACAGCTGATATTTGCTTCGGGTTGGCTTCAATCCCTCGTTGGGTAACGATGTAGCCTAGAAACTTGCCGGAGGAGACCCCAAACGTACACTTCGCAGGGTTCAGCTTCATTCCGTACTTTTTTAGCGTTCCGAAGCAGTCTCGTAAATGGTTAAGATGATCTTTGGCATGAAGCGACTTGACGAGCATATCATCGATATAGACTTCCATGGTGCTACCGAGTTTGTCGGCGAACATGCGGTTGACGAGTCGCTGGTAGGTAGCTCCAGCATTCTTCAACCCGAATGGCATGACTTTATAACAGTACGTTCCTCGGTCTGTGATGAATGCTGTCTTCTCGCGGTCATCGGGGTGCATCATAATCTGATTGTAGCCTGAGAACGCATCCATGAAGGTGAGCATCTCGGTTCCTGCGGTTGATTCTACTAGACGATCGATACTGGGTAACGGGTAACTATCTTTTGGGCAAGCTTTGTTAAGATCGGTGAAGTCGACGCAGACGCGCATTTCCCGTTCTTTTTCTTGACTACCACAGGATTCGCTAGCCATTCCGGGTATCGGACTTCTGTGATCGAACCAGCTCCGAGTAGTCGTTTGACTTCCTCGTTCACTGCTTTCGCTCTTTCCGGTCCCAGCTTGCGTCTTTTCTGGCGGATAGGCTTGAAAGTGGGATTGACGTTGAGCTCGTGGGTAGTTATGGCTGGATCGATTCCTTTCATGTCCGTCATCGACCAAGCAAAGGTGAACACATTTTCCTTCAGGAACGTGAGCAATGCTCGCTGCATATCGTCGGCTAGATGTGCACCAACGCGCACTGTCTTACTTGGATCGGAATCGTCTATAGGCATCTCCAGAACCTCGTCTTTCTGAGGGAAGGTTCGAGCGATCGGATGAGAGACAGAGTTGACTAGGGACGATGAACGTTGCAGCTTGACTGTGGCGATTAGCAGGTCTCGCGTGGCTTGCTGATCTCCGCGGACGGTCTTGATTGTTCCGTCTACCCCAGGGAACTTGATGCATTGGTGGTAGGTTGACGGAACTGCCTGCATCGAATGTATCCATGGGGTTCCGAGAATGACATGATAAGGGGCTTTAGTGTTTACCACGGAGAATTTAACCGTTCGAGTAACTCCGCATGCGCGGACTGGGAGACGGATTATCCCTTGGATGATTTCCGATGAGCCGTTGAAGCCGGTCAAGGTCCGCGAGGATGATTTGACATCGTCGAAATCTACCCCCATCTTTTCGAGTGTATCACGAAAGATGAGGTCAACCGAGCTTTCTGTGTCGACTAGTACTTTGGTTACATCGTACTTACCGATCTCAAGGACGACTAGCAGAGGATCGTTGTGGGGCAAATGGACTCCGTTCAAATCTTCCGGAGAAAATCTGATTGGCGTGTGGCTCAGTGGCTTCGTAGGCCAACGTCTCGAAGATGCGGCTTGGCGCCGATAGTCTTTGACGGAGCGGACGGAGTCACCACAAGGAGGTGATCCACCCATGATGACGTTCAGCCGGGGTTTCACGGTGACTCGTTTGGTATCTAGGAATGTACGAAGATCCGCGGGGACGTTCTCGTCGCTTGGCTTTGACGAGTCCAGGGTATGGGACGAAGTTGGCTGCTCTAGCCGTTGATTTATTGATTTGGAACGGTTTAGTCGCGCGCGTAAATCGGTCAGGTTAGCGTTGAGTTTGTCGCGTAGATCGGTAACAGGCTTGTCGTCCGACAAGGGAGGCTCCTTGGTTTCCAGGCGTCGCGACTTGTTGGCTTGGAGCATGAGGCGGAGGTCTTTGCTGTTGACGTCATCGCATGTAGTGACCTTTCGCTTGAGGAAGCTCCGAAGGTCGCTTGATACTGGCGAGTTATCGTCCTCATCATCTGATGACAAAGGTTGCTGGGATCGTATTACCTCAATACGTTGGCGGCTTGCTGGTTGCCCCTCGTCTCCCGAAGAGACTTCGTTGTCGGCGGCATCCGAAGGTTTGTCGTCTGGACGGCGTTGCTCTCCGCTCTTACCACCGGACTTTCGCTGCGCGCGTTTATCTTTGTTCTTAGACCAACTCTTACCGGATTTAGGTTTCAACCGATGAGAGGAATTCAGCGTACATCGTTCTACATTCGGTTGTGTCGTGTCCTTTGACGTCATGATACTTACAGTGTTTGGTGAGGTCGACTCCTTTAGAAGATCCCGCTCCTGAGGTAGCCGGCGAAGCTGGTTGAGCCGGTCCGGCAGGACTAGCCAGACCTTTCAGAGCCGCCGTCTCTCGGTTGTAGACGTTCCATGGCTCGCCGCGTACTGAGAAACTTGCGACTGGCGTGTTATTCTCGTCGACGACAAACAGAAGGCCGCTCTTTTGTTATTTCTTGTCGCCGGAAGCGTGTTCACGCGGCTCCGGCTTTGCGTCAGAGGTCTTGGGCGTTGTCGGCTTTGCTGCGCTATGTTTGCCTATGATTGCTTTCGTGTCCTTCTCTATTCGGATGAAGTTGTGTGAGCGAGCTATGGCATCCTGGAGCGTCGTGGAGATGCTTCGGTATAGGTCCTCTCGGAACTTGGAATTGAGATGGAGGGTGTTCATGAGAGCGTCGACGGCTATGTGGTCTGGGATGTCGATCTTTGAGACGATCGACTTGAAGCGCTCCATGAAGTCTCGAAGACTTTGGTCTTTAGTCTGCTTTAGGTTCCACAAGCTGGAGGCTGTCGCTTCGCGCTTAGTGAACATGATGTAGGTTTTGAGGAAAGCCGACGAAAGCTCTCTGAAGCTGCTGATGGAGTTCTCTTTGAGACCTGAGAACCAGGTCAAGGCTTGGTCGTGGAGTGTTTCCACGAACAGCTGACAGTATGCGGCGTCTCTTTCGTCGTTGGGTAGCCGCGCTCGGGCCATCGCGATGTTGAAAGCAGTCATATGCTCCACAGGGTCACCGCCGGGTTTGTACTGCGGGACGCGCAGCTTCTCAATCTTGCGGAAGTTTACGCTAGTCAACGTACTGGTGAATGGAGTACGCTCGGTTGAAGCGAGAACACTCTCGATCTGCGGAGCGGCGCTAGTAACCTTGTGAATCGTGGAGCTCATCTGTTGGAGGTTCAGTTTGAGCTCGGCGATTTCACGGACAGTCGTGAGATCTGGGCCGACTTGAGCTGCTTCTGCAGCGTGCGGCTCGGTGGGTTCCGATTCTTCGAAGGTATTGTCGGCTACCGGCGCTGTCGGGTTGGTGTTGAAGAGGTGATGTCGGAACGGTTGAGAGTTACTCGTTTGCCCGGCGGGAGCTGCTGTTAACGCTGCTACGAGTGCGGCGAGTTGAGCTTGAGTCTCCTTTTGGATTTCGTCCTATCTGGCGAAACGCGCCATGACGGAGCTCATGAAGTCGGGCGGAAGGGGTGTTTCGGGTACGGGAGTCTGAGTCGGCTCCTCCCCGGCGGTTCCGGAGACGGTTCCATCGTCAGGCATGTCTAGATCTGATAACGTTGCTTTGTTCAGAGCCCCACGGTGGGCGCCAAATTGTTTGAGGTGGAAATGGTTCGAAACAATATAAAGAGAGAGATGAGGGCGAACAAAGACGTTTTTATTAGATCTGAACAAGGAGTTACAAAGAGAAGAGTAAAGAGGCGGACTAGCCGGAAGTACAAGATGGTGAGTAAACGGAAAGATGACTAAACAGGAAGGTGAGTAAACGAGTAGGTGACTAAACAGGAAGGTGAGTAAACGAGTAGGTGATTAAACAGGAAGGTGAGTAAACGAGAGGGTGAGTAAACCCTAGATCTAACCACCTAGTCGCTAAGAAACCCTAGATCTAGCTGCCAAGTGAGTATGTCCAATTCCGGATCCCTTTTCCCTTTGCTGCCTCTCTCCTTTTATAGACCCTGTCTTCGTGTTCGCCCTAGTTTACGTGAGCCTTGTTGGGCTTGATTCTTATTAGGCCTGTTTAGTAGTCCGGGTAAGTCGTACTTTAGCCGACTCTCTCAGTCGCGCTACTAAACGCGTCTCATGCTAAGTCGTTTTGATTCTACCTGGTGGGCCAAGTACATTATCGTGTTGGGCTGAGTTTCTCCATTTGATGGGCCTTGCGGAGGGGTATAACCCATCTCCTACAATCTCCTTGAGAGAGCCGAAGTTAAAGCCAATTACAGATGTGGGTCTTGGGCCTCTCGGCCTCTGAAATGGCTCAAAAATAATGTCGTTCCCTTTTTATTTAGACGCCTTGTCGTTTCTTTTATCCTCTAGTAACCTGTATCCCGTTTTCTTTCTTTCAGTAATACAAACAAACAACCTCAAATAATTAGTCTCCACTCTCCACGTTGCGAAAATCCGATCTACGCTTCTCCCTCTCTCCAATCTCCCTGCGCCACAGATTTCTCGATCTTCAACGATCTGCGGCAAAGATGAACGATGTGGATGTATCGAATCAGATCCAGCAGATGGTGAGATTCATCCGCCAAGAGGCTGAGGAGAAGGCAAACGAGATCTCCGTCTCCGCTGAAGAAGTACGTTTGCTTCTCACTCTTTTCTTCCATTTCTCAGGATCTCTCTTCCGCAATTCGAGATTCTGATTATCATCGATCTGAATATATGTAGGAATTCAACATCGAGAAGCTGCAGCTAGTCGAGGCGGAGAAGAAGAAGATCAGGCAAGATTATGAGAAGAAGGAGAAGCAAGCTGATGTTCGCAAGAAGATGTGAGTTTCTATTAACCGATCGTTTAGTTTCTTGATTGAATCTTGATTTAGTTTAAGCTGGATCGCCTTCTGTTGTTATGGATTTGAATTATGAATACATTGTTTTTGTGTGTTCAGTGATTACTCGATGCAGCTAAATGCGTCAAGGATCAAAGTTCTTCAAGCGCAGGATGATATTGTCAACGCAATGAAAGACCAAGCAGCTAAGGATCTTCTCAAGGTCTGTGCTGATGAGGATGCCTACAAACAGCTCCTCAAGGATCTCATTGTTCAGGTTGACTTCTTTGAAGCATATGATATGATTATGTAATTGTATCTTGAAGCATATGATATGATTATGTAAAATATCATTGTTGCAGTGTTTGCTTCGGTTGAAAGAACCTTCTGTGTTGTTGCGTTGCCGTGAGGAGGATTTGGGTTTAGTTGAAACTATTCTTGAGGATGCAAAGGAGGAGTATGCTGGTAAAGCAAATGTTCATGCTCCAGAGGTTGCCGTGGACACCACGATATTCCTTCCACCTCCTCCTACCTCTAGTGATCCTCATGGTCTCCACTGGTAAAATTCATGTTTCTCATCATATTAGTTTAACATCACACAGAAAGTAACTTAAGGCATAGTGATTATATTTTAGATTTTAAAGAAAGGACTATTATGGTGTCTAGATCTGGCTTGATCTAGGTAATAATATTTTGTGTTGAACATGTTACAGCTCTGGAGGTGTTGTGTTAGCTTCTCGTGATGGAAAAATTGTGTGCGAGAACACACTTGATGCGCGTCTTGACGTGGCTTTCCGTATGAAACTTCAAGTGGTATGAATAGCAAACTCAAAACTTAGTTTGATGTCTTTCTAGTGATTCATAAACTCTCTTACTCACTCATCTTTTTCCACAGATCCGTAGGTCGTTGTTCGGCCAAGTTGCTGCCTAAAGAATGAAAAAGAGACGGAGATGTGATTCAGACCGGGTTGTGTTTGGTTTTACCCATTTGGGAAAGATTTCTATTTGTTGTGATTCTTTTATGTTCTCTGCAACAATTTTACTTTGATGCCAAAAAACCCCGTCGAACTCTTTGTTTACGCATATGTATTTTTCCTCGAGTGTTAATCATTGGCTATAAAAATAAATAAAGAAACGAAAGACTTTCTTTCTTCTAAAGACCCTATGCTTATATATGTGGATTTTAGGTGCTCTTATTTGTGTTGACTGATTGATAAGCTAAAGCAGTGCTATGTGAGGAGGAAGAAAGTCAAAGCTCATGTTGAACTGGACGAGTGAGACTCATTTGATTGGTTAAGGAGTTTGTCATTTGATTGGTTAAGGAGTTTGTTGGAGTTAGTTAGACTCTAATTAGTATAAATAATGACTGTTGTATTCATTGGAGGTTAGCTTGTAATTTTGGTTAAGAGTCTATTAGATTTGAGGAGCTCATGAGTGGGTTAAGCCACCGTGACTCACTATCTGTTACAAGTGTAATTCGTTCTTCAAGATAATAAAAGAGTACTTTCAGTCGCCGCGCACACATTCAACCATTTGAAGAAGGATAAACCGATCGCCGATTCACCGACTCCACAACCTCAGGTACGGAATCTTGATAATCTCGAACAACCGGAGGGGGAACCGTTAGGTTATCGGACTAGTCGTGGCAGATTGCAACTCGTGATAGTTTGGTTAAGAAAATTGAGCTTCCGAGTTTCGATGGAGTGAAACCGTATATTTGGATCAATCAAGTGGAGAAATATTTCAGAGCTGCGAAGTATGATGAGGACGAGAAAATGGAGATTGTGGCGTTGAGTTTGACATGAGAGGTGCTGAACTGGTATTCTTGGGAAGTGACTCAAGAACCGTTTTCGATTGGGATCACTTTAAAGAAAGGATGTTAGACCATTTTACTGAGTCAATGGATGATGAACCCAAGAATAGGATATGTGCATTACGCTTGACGGGATCTATCAGAGCATATGTGAGTGAGTTTGAAGAGCTGATTAACTTGGTCAAAGGTTTAAGTGAAGCTAATATGATTAACAAGTTCTACACCGGGTTAAAACCAGAAATGAAAGAGGTCATCAAGATGAAAGAACCAAAAGGCCTCGGAAATCACATTGCGGCAGTTATGAAAATGGAAACAAGCGCTTTTTGTCAGATGCTCAACACACACTCAAGTATAACAGGGGGTTATCAGTCGCAGCCAACCTCCAGGCCACAACATAAGCACCATTCATCATCAACTATGACAACAGTAAACAAATTGATAGAGTCAGGGGAGAAAGGGAAAGGTCTGGAGTCAGAAAAGAAACAAGCAACGAGAGAAAGGGAGCGAGTACATTTGACACCAGCAGAATTGGCTGAACTTAAAAGACTGAAGCTGTGTTTTAAATGTCGAGAGAAGTGGTTCAGGGGTCATGTGTGTGGCAAACCACAACTGTAGGTTAATTATGACACTGTTTGAGGGTTTTGAGGTTGAGATTTTAGAGGATTTGTGGGAAGAAGCAATGTCAATGCAGGAGGTTACTCCTCAGGTGATACATTATCGTTATGTTCTTTCTTGGGGTATGACTCTCCAACAACTCATAAACTTCGAAGCAACTTCATCAAGCCGGATGTTTTAAAGAAGCTACACATGACATGTCAGTCTCGAGATAATGTACAAGTATTGTTGGGTTCAGGAATAACAATTAATTTAACAAGGATTTGCAGGAATGTTCAGTTGGAGTTACAGGGCCTACAATTCTGTATTGACTGCATATCGTTTGAAATTGCCAGATATATTTGGTGTTGGGAGTTCAATGGCTCAGAACACTTGGTTTGTGTGAAGTTGATTGGGAAAGGCATGAAATGAGCTTCATGTATAATGGCAAACGGGAGACTCTAGTGGGAGAATCAGATTTACACCTGCCTCTCAGAGCTATAAAAGACTCTCACTCAACACCGTTACAAGCTCTAGAGTTGGATGATTTAGACGTGCCTCAACAGCAATCTTTGACAACAGCTATGCTTCTTCCGAAGATGTTGGAAGAGCTGTTACAAAAGTTTGATAAGGTCGTCCCATAGCTTATTTCAGTCATAGTTTGTCTGTTAGAGAACAATTGAAACCTATCTATGAATGTGAGTTAATGACAGTGGTGTTAGCAGTTCGGAAGTGGAAACATTATCTGTTGGGAAGGAAGTTTGTGGTGCATACTGATCAAAAAAGCCTCAAGTTTCTCTTAAAACAAAGAGAGGTCAACATGGAATATCAAAAGTGGCTAATCAAACTGTTGGGTTATGAGTTTACAACTGTTTACAAGAAAGGGGTTGATAACACATCAACTGATGGCCTATCTCGAATGTTCTCTAAGGAGTCTGTTTAAGCTGCACGTTCTTTGTTGGCAATGACATTACCATCAGTAATTCAAGTGGAAGATCTATATAAAGAGATTGATGAAGATGTGTCGATACAATCGTGGTTGAGTTAGGCCTATTTTTATAGGCAATGACATTACCATCAGTAATAAAAACTTATTTTTATTATTATTTAAACTTAATTTTAAACCTTTTTATGAACAATAATTGCATATAAATAAAATAATTTTTATTATTATTTAAACTTAATTTTAAACCTTTTTACGAACAATAATTCACAAATCTATTCTTATAATAATAATAATAAACTAATTTTATTATTTTTAAACTTAATATAAACCTTTTTACGAACAATAATTGCATATAAATAAGAATTCATTTTTATTATTATTTAAACTTAATTTTAAACTTCCGATCATTGCTGCAAAAATCGCCAAACACTAAAGATTTTAGTAATATTGATTTTTATGCAACCACAAATTTTTATATAATGATAACATCTAATCTGTTTAGGTACAATGGGTATGAAGAATCTGTTTTCGGGAGTACCAGAATTTTGGTCAGGAAAAGAAACCCGTTGGATCACCTCCATCGGTGAAGTCAAAGACAGGACTAAAAAAAGGTAACAACGATTTTTAGGATTAGTTTTTTGTATTATGTATTCTATAATTAAGTCGTATATAACAGAAACATAATGTCCCAAAATGACAGGAAAATGAAATCCAACTCCTCCACCGGTGTTTGTAACAGATGAAAATCTTCAAGGTAAATTTTTTTGGGGTTACACAATTGTAGTAATATGATTGATACTTTATAAATACTAACATTATATCTATATTATGAATTTATTTGTCTCAATGTATATCTGTTACACTTCTTTGGGACCTCTGTGTTAGACGTTTGTTTATATGTTACAATTATTATTTTTCAGCTACTCAAACTCCACTTGGGGAAAACAAAACAAATGAATTTCTTCCACCAAGGTTCATAGTTGATGACCATCTTGAAGGTAAAAAGTATTTTCAATCTATACATAGACAGTTAATTATATTCAAGGATGATATGAAATAGAAACTGATATGTTTTGATTATGATATACACTTTTTTGACTATGAGATACATTTTTATACGCAGCTTATAATAATCGATATGAAATGGAAAATGAGTCTGAAAATGAAGATGAAAATAATGAGGTTTACACTACATATCCAGCTGGAGAATCTTCGAGAAACCCATCACCACATCATATCCTGCAACCAACTAATCATACAGTTTCTGCGGCCGTTATCATCAGGATACAAAAGAATGGTAATGCCCTGAAAATAATAATATAAAATAACTACATATTACTTTGTTTCTTATGATGATGTTTCTTACACAGGTTATTATGACGATGGAAATCCAATTTGGAATTGTACGTATTGTGCAGCCTATATGTGGTATGGTGAAAGAATTGGAAAACGTCGTCGTAGTTCCAATCCTGTCTTCACAATATGTTGTAAGCGTGGTAAGGTTGTGCTTCCTCATCTTGCAAATCCTCCAATGGAGTTAATGACTTTGTTATGCAAAGGAGACGAGTTGAGAAAACATTTTCGAGAGTTCATACGAGCTTACAGTATGATGTTCTCTTTCACATCTCTTGGGGGGGGGGGATAGATCATTCTATTAACAATGGTCGTGGACCATTTGTTTTCCGAATGTCTGGTGAGAACTATCACCGTATTGGTGATATAGTTTCTGAGCCTGGAAAAGCTCCAAAATTTTCTCAGCTATATATCATTGATACTTTAAATGAGATCAAAAATAGGCTCGAAGCTTATGCCAAGTAATTTTCTTCACTTTTAAAACTTACTATGTTTATATTATACACATTGCAGTACAAGATATAAGTTTCTCAAGTTATACCTTTTTAAATACTATACAGGTCTGATAGAGCTGGTGCTAAGAAACTAAGAGAAACAGTTGTGAGTATTCTGAAGAATATGTTAGATCAGTGTAACCCTCATGTTAAGGCGTTTAGGTATGCAAGGGACAGATTCGACATAAAATGATCAACAGGTTACAGGATGAGGTTGATTGAAGGTCGACAATCTGATGGACGAACCCATAATCTTCCGACTGCAAATGAAGTGGCTGCTTTGATACCATGAGATTTTGTTTTAAATATGGAGACACGAGATATTGTCCTAGAGAGTACAAGTGGAAAGTTGCAAAGGATAAGTGAATTACATCCGGCATATTTGCCTATGCAATATCCACTGTTATTTCCATATGCAGAGGATGGCTTTCGATTAAACATTCCTATTTGTTTTGAAGACACCACTGGGAGAAAACGCAAGTCAATAACTATGCGTGAGTTCTTTGCATTTCGGATTTTAGAGAGGAAGGGGGAAGCACCTACAATTACAAGATCAGGCAGACTGTTTCATCAGTTCCTTGTGGACGTCTACAAAATGATAGAATCGAGTAGACTGCGTTATTTGTGGCTAAATCAGAAAAAGCTCCGGTCAGATAGTTACGATGCAATCCAAAAAGCAGCTGCAAGAGGTGGAGTTAAGATGACTGAGCAAGGGAGCCGGATTTACATTC